TGCCCAGTGGGCCGCGATGCAATCACACAGCACCCTCACTCACACACCGCACCCTCAGACACACACAGCAGCCTAAGACACACACGGCACCCTCACTCACACACAGCACCCTCTACACAGCACCCAGACACACACAGCACCCTCAGACACATACAGCACCCAGACACACACAGCACCAAGGCACACACAGCACTCAGACACACACGGCACCCTCACTCAAACACAGAACCCTCAGACACACAAAGCACCCTCAGACACAGACAGCCCCATCACTCATACAGCACCCTCAAATGCACACAGCACCCTCAGACGCACAAAGCACCTTCAGACACACAAAGCACCCTCATATGTATACAGTACCCTCAGACACACACAGCACCCAGACACACACAGCACCCAGACACACACAACAACCACACACACAGCACCCAGTCACACAAAGCACCCTCAGACACAGACAGCCCCATCACTCACACAGCACCCTCAGACCCACGCAGCACCCTCAGACACAGACCGCACCCTCAGATGCACACAGCACCCTCAGACAGAAAGCACCCTCAGACACACAGCACCCTCACTCACACAGCACACTTCCACACATATACATCACACACATATATAAAATAACCCTCAATGAGTTAACAGACAAAGAAAATTAGAAACCTAGAATGTGACGGCAGATAAAAACACCCTTACACACAGCATCCCTCTTACACACACAAACACTGTGCCCCTCACACATACAATACATCCAAATATATAAATATATACACTACACTACACACATTATGCTCCAGATACACGCTAAATCCCTTACCCTATATGCACTCTTAATCCTCTACACACACACACACACACACAGACACACAATCTCCTATACACACTCTGGGGCAACCTACCTACACACACTACATTCCTTGTAAGCAAACACATACAACATTCTCTAAACGCACCCTCTGTACAACCCCTACACAACCCCTACACACACTACATCACCTATACACACACACTACAACCCGTATGCACACACTCACTACATCTCCTATAACACTATGCCCCCTATACACACACTCTCTACAGCCCCTAGCCACACATATTACACCACAAACATGAATGAAATTGACCTATTTACACAATACCACACCACACTCTACACAGACGCAATCCCACAAGCAGGCTCTAAACACATACACCATACACTTTCCTGGCCCTTTTGTCCTCTGGTATCCCACTTATGGAGACACCAGAGACAATTTAAAAGCAAACGTAAACATTCTTGCACTGCGCAGAACAAATACAGGGCCTTTTTCATTAAGGATGACAAAGTGAATACGAAAACTTTATTTAAAAAAGTCTGTACCAATAATGTTATTGATGTTTCTAGCTGTCACCATAAGCCTTGGCTCCATGGCATACCAAAAAGTCAGTTTCTTCGTCTTCGGAGAAACTGCTCCCTCACCCAAGACTTTGAAGAACAATCTCAGATGCTGCTCAACAAATTCTCTCAAAAAAATTACCCTAAGAACGATCTAGATCTCACATTAAAAAATATTAGTGAAAAGAATAGATCAGAATTATTAGAATATAAAAGAAAAAATGATACTAAAAGTGCTCCACTATTGCCAATTATTTTCGACTTCAATAACAAAAGCAATGTTGTGAAGAAGATTATTAAGAAACATTGGCATATATTGAAAAAGGATGAGACTTTAGCTGGGGTTATCCCTGATAAACCACATGTCATATTTAGAGGGGCACCCAGCTTTAAGTCTATCCTCACAAGTAATTATACTAAACAAAAATATGACAAGCCCTCCCCCAACCTTTTCACTTTCTTACCTAAACCTAGTGGGTTTTTTAAATGTAATAAGTGCATAGTATGTAAACGCACGAGTGACATTATTAAATCTAAAACTACCTCTGTAGGGGATAAGATGGATATTTTGCCGGAGCTACACTCTCTTCATAAGACAGGATCCTGGGAATCAGTCAAGAAGACAAGAGATGTGTTCTATAACCACAGCACTCAGACACACACGGCACCCTCACTCAAACACAGAACCCTCAGACACACAAAGCACCCTCAGACACAGACAGCCCCATCACTCATACAGCACCCTCAAATGCACACAGCACCCTCAGACGCACAAAGCACCTTCAGACACACAAAGCACCCTCATATGTATACAGTACCCTCAGACACACACAGCACCCAGACACACACAGCACCCAGACACACACAGCAACCACACACACAGCACCCAGTCACACAAAGCACCCTCAGACACAGACAGCCCCATCACTCACACAGCACCCTCAGACCCACGCAGCACCCTCAGACACAGACCGCACCCTCAGATGCACACAGCACCCTCAGACAGAAAGCACCCTCAGACACACAGCACCCTCACTCACACAGCACACTTCCACACATATACATCACACACATATATAAAATAACCCTCAATGAGTTAACAGACAAAGAAAATTAGAAACCTAGAATGTGACGGCAGATAAAAACACCCTTACACACAGCATCCCTCTTACACACACAAACACTGTGCCCCTCACACATACAATACATCCAAATATATAAATATATACACTACACTACACACATTATGCTCCAGATACACGCTAAATCCCTTACCCTATATGCACTCTTAATCCTCTACACACACACACAGACACACAATCTCCTATACACACTCTGGGGCAACCTACCTACACACACTACATTCCTTGTAAGCAAACACATACAACATTCTCTAAACGCACCCTCTGTACAACCCCTACACACACTACATCACCTATACACACACACTACAACCCGTATGCACACACTCACTACATCTCCTATAACACTATGCCCCCTATACACACACTCTCTACAGCCCCTAGCCACACATATTACACCACAAACATGAATGAAATTGACCTATTTACACAATACCACACCACACTCTACACAGACGCAATCCCACAAGCAGGCTCTAAACACATACACCATACACTTTCCTGGCCCTTTTGTCCTCTGGTATCCCACTTATGGAGACACCAGAGACAATTTAAAAGCAAACGTAAACATTCTTGCACTGCGCAGAACAAATACAGGGCCTTTTTCATTAAGGATGACAAAGTGAATACGAAAACTTTATTTAAAAAAGTCTGTACCAATAATGTTATTGATGTTTCTAGCTGTCACCATAAGCCTTGGCTCCATGGCATACCAAAAAGTCAGTTTCTTCGTCTTCGGAGAAACTGCTCCCTCACCCAAGACTTTGAAGAACAATCTCAGATGCTGCTCAACAAATTCTCTCAAAAAAATTACCCTAAGAACGATCTAGATCTCACATTAAAAAATATTAGTGAAAAGAATAGATCAGAATTATTAGAATATAAAAGAAAAAATGATACTAAAAGTGCTCCACTATTGCCAATTATTTTCGACTTCAATAACAAAAGCAATGTTGTGAAGAAGATTATTAAGAAACATTGGCATATATTGAAAAAGGATGAGACTTTAGCTGGGGTTATCCCTGATAAACCACATGTCATATTTAGAGGGGCACCCAGCTTTAAGTCTATCCTCACAAGTAATTATACTAAACAAAAATATGACAAGCCCTCCCCCAACCTTTTCACTTTCTTACCTAAACCTAGTGGGTTTTTTAAATGTAATAAGTGCATAGTATGTAAACGCACGAGTGACATTATTAAATCTAAAACTACCTCTGTAGGGGATAAGATGGATATTTTGCCGGAGCTACACTCTCTTCATAAGACAGGATCCTGGGAATCAGTCAAGAAGACAAGAGATGTGTTCTATAACCAATTCAAATTTTAATTGAGTTATATTTATACCCCATTTTCATGTCGGTGGGGGTCATTGAGCATTGTGACATAGTTTATTTTTCACAAGTTGTTTTCAGTTATAATTCGATGTTACATAATGTATGCATATTGGATAAAACCCAGATGATCACAAATACAGAAATCTTGGACAATACACAAGGACATTCCAGAATCCATGTCATGTCATGTCAATATCTTTTTCCAGGAACATAACATAAAATCATGTTTCAATAACATTTCTGAGAATTGTATCTCCAATTCCAAATTTATTCTTGATTCAAATTAACCCTTACATGAACAGTTAGGATATAGAGCAAAATGGATATTCATATCCTACAATTCCTCTCTTTAGATCATATCGTGATCTACCTTATGGAATATCCATGGGAGGCCTGCGGCAGAGAAACGAAAGGAGGTATATTCAGACGTGCTAATCACGTCTGCGGGACTTTCCTTATTTCTTCACCTCGATTTCCCCCATTTGCTCTATGCCGTAGGTTTTCCCATTAAGAGGAGATCGAGCTGTCGATTTTCAGCTTTTGTAATCATCTGTTGTACACGTTTCTTAAGTGTGCAAGTTAGATAACAATTAAACAATATCATTATTGCAAGTATTATCACAATGATGACAAGAGGGTAGAAAAAGGACCTTACAACTTGTGCGCCAGTAGGGGACCAACCTGTGAGGGCATCATACCAATGATGAGCAAAATTTTCCTGGATTTTAGAACTAACTTTAATTAATTCCCTTTCAACTATGTGGGTGGATATTTCAGTATGTACTAAGGCATCTTTATGTGCTTTCAAATGTTTAAACATATCTCCTTTTCCTCTTAGTAAATTAATTATTATTCCTGTAGGAAGTTGATAATCAACGATAGGTAACGCAGGTGGAATATATTTTTTGGATCTGTATATACTAGGAATAGGTTGCAGGAAATAAGTATGATCTTTCCATTTTATCCAGGTTGCATTTGATATACATCCTACAAAGGGTAAATGTTTATCAACTTCGGGAATATTGACAGGTTGTTTGGTAGCTAGGCACACTATTTGTGGTTCTATTTCTAACATAACTGAATAATCCGATGGATATACATGCCAAGTACAACTACTTATTTGATTGGCTAATAAGCATGGTTCATAGATGGGTGAGGAATGTCTGCATGTGTAACCTTTATCTGCCTTGTCACAGTGTTCTAATGAATATGTTTTATTATCCTTGGGGAATATATATTCTCCTGTAAAAGTTGGATTCCACCAAGTAAGATTATCATTAAGTATATTAAACATAGGTGTAGGTAAAGTGAAGAACTTACATGCTAGTTTTATATGGGTTGGAGCAACTTCATATAACGTAAATCCAACCCTACATGAATAACTCGATATCTCGTCTTCTACCCATTCTTCACAATCTACATCATTTGACCTTAAACTAATCCAGTAGTTGTCAGTCAATTCCATCATTTCTCTGACTTTCTGTATTTTAGGTACCATAAGAGTATTCTCTAGTCTTAACCTTTGTTGATGCATCCATAAAACTCTAGTGGCACATAAGGTCCAGTCAGTGATTCCTTTTGTTAGGTTAGTAATAGCATATGTTAGATTAACCAGATAGGTGTACATAGATTGTTCTAATTGTAATTCCTTCCATTGTGATTGTACCATGGTAGGGGCCCATTTAGCCATTACATGAAATCCTATCCCTAATTCTTTCCCTGCCGTGGATAACTTATTCTTTAGTATTTCCATGTCTACACCATTTAATATTCCTATAGTTGTTCCTGTACCCCCTAAGATGGTATCATACCATTCTCTCTTCTCTCTATTAGGTAGTGGATTACATAATCGTACATCAGGTGTAGATATATTTAGTGTTATGTGTACAGCCTTCTGAATTATAGTAGTGTTTACACATGATGAGGGTATTGGAATATGGGAATAATTATGAACAGTAGGTGTAGTATGTGGGCTACAATATAATAAAACCGCGAACCAACCTCTGTTCTCTATTCTACTCCTATTATATATGATACGGACGTATCCTCTAGGCCATGTGGCATTATACATGCTATGAACATTATCAGGAGCGATAGAAGTAAGGGGAACTGGATTGTCTTGATCTAGGGAAACATTAGTATTTTGCAAATAATAAAATATTGAACCAACTCCTTTGTTTGTGAAAGGATAAGGTTCTGAAAATAGCCAAGCAAGAGTATAAAAACCAGTAGTGTTAGTAATTGTTATAGAGCAATTTACGGAATCATCATGCAATGGTTTGACCACTACTTGTGCAGTCTTTGCAGCAATGCATATTTGACCTTTAGTTGTAATATTAAGTACAAGGCAGGTTTTGCCGCCATTACATATAAAATACTCTTGTGTTCTAGTCTCTTTAGCACGGCTCCACCAAAATACTGATTTAGAAGAACAATTGGTGTGAGTTTGCAAAGTCTTGTCTGTGGGTAGTGATCTTTTGTTTCTGGTTCTATTAGTAGGATGATCAAGGCTTAATTGGACACTGTAACTGGTGGAGTTGTGATCTTTCCAGAAGCAGACCTTCTGGAACTCTCTCATATTCTCATAATCATAGTGACAATCAAGAAGGACAATCAGCGGTAGGAAGAGAATCATGGAGAGAATTAGGATGATGAAAAAATTCTTTGCCCCATGCAAGGGATCCAATAGGTTTACTTTAGCCATAGCACTTCAGATAAGGATGTTGGGTCGTCAGGGCCAATCGGAGTAAGGACCTTAAGCTTGTCTCCTACTTCACCTCTCTTTGGACACGGCTTCAGACGGGATGCATGGATCCAGATATCTTGGGAATCGGTGAGCACAGCGGTTCGGGTCACGGCAATCACAGTGGTAGGCGGACCAAAAGGAAACTTTCCCTTCCTGCTCTTGTTCAGCTGTCGGATACAGACCAGATCACCAGGCTGATAAGGATGTGTAGGTTCCTGTGAGGGTAGAGGAAACTGCATGGAAACATCACCATATACAGAGTTGAGTTTAAAAATTAACTGTTTAACATATTCTTCCTGGATTAAGTCTAAATCACCAGGCATAATAACAAATCGTCCCTTCACCCAAGGAGTAGGAAATGGTCTTCCCATGAGTATCTCAAATGGTGACAATTTAGTAGTCCTGCTAGGGGTCATTCTTATTTCAGCTAAAATAGCAGGTAAGTATGTTTGCCAGTGAACCCATGTGCCATCTGTGGCCTTCATCAGTTTCTCCTTAATTGTCCTATTCATTCTTTCTACTATACCTGAACTCTGGGGATGGTAGGGTACATTAAATTTCCAGGTAACCTGTAACCATTTGGCCAGTTCCTGTGTAACTTTGCTAGCAAAGGCAGGGCCATTATCAGAATTGATCTGCAATGGGCAGCCATACCTAGGAATAATTTCAGTGGTCAGTATTTTCACCACAGTCCTAGTATCCTCCTTATTAGTAACAAAGGCCTCGGGCCATTTTGAGAAGTGATCCACAATCACCAGTAAGTATTGTTGTCGCTTACCTGTTTTGGGGATGTGGGTGAAATCTACCTGTAAATGGGTGAAAGGGCCTGTAGGTGGTGGGAGGTGTTCATGTCTAGATTTGTGTGTGACAGTAGTATTGGTCTGTAAGCATTGGACACACCTCTGTAAGTATACCTGACAGTGGAGAGAGAGATTCAAGATTACAAAATGTTGTTGAATAAGACCCAAAGTAACCTTAAGACCCTTGTGACCCACTCCGTGTGCCTGGGAAATAAAAATAGGGGCACTGCTTTCTGGTATCCCTATCTTCCCCTCTTTGGAATAAAGGCCATTTTGGTCTTTTTCCAAACCCTGTTTTTTCCAGTATGCAATATCTTCATGGGTTGCAAAACCCTGAAGTTCTTGCAACAACTGTTCTTCTGGGCTGGTAGGGGGACTAAAAATTGAAAATATCATACGATAATAAATGGTCTGAGATGCTACCTCTTTGGCAATTCTATCTGCTAGTGCATTGCCTAGGGATATATCATCCCCACCTTGAGTGTGAGCTCTACAGTGAATGATAGACACTGTACGAGGAAGTTGTAAAGCATGCAAGAGGTCTTCAATTAATGTCTTATGAGAAATGCCTTTACCATCAGCTGCAATGAATCCTCTTTGTTTCCAAATCATTCCAAAATCATGCACAACCCCATGAGCGTAGCGTGAGTCAGTGTAAATATTGACATCTTTGTTAGTGAATAGAGTGCATGCACGTGTAAGGGCAACCAACTCAGCAGCTTGGGCTGACATGTGGGGTATGGAGCTAGCCTCAAGGACCTTATCAGGTAATTGGACTACTGCATACCCAGTCTGGTACTGACCGTCAACAGGTCGGGAACAAGATCCATCCACAAACACATCCTCAGAACCTGGCTGAGGGGTATCCATGAGGTCTAAGCGTGGGGAGGTATGTGTATGTATAGTATGAATACAGTCATGTTCTTCTGGCTGAGTTTTGCTTAGATTAGGGTTGTCATGAGTAAGGATAGCATGCAGTACACTCATAGGGCCAGAATTAATAGGGCCATACTTGATCTGTAAATTAGTAGAATTTAAGAGAATTATTTCATAACCACTTAATCTTTGTGCTGTCATGTGTTGTGTAGTGAGATTCTTGATCAAATGCAACACTTGGTGTGATGTATGGAGAATAGTAGGATGGCCCAGAGTGATAGTAGTAGCAGTCTCAACAGCCATTGCACAAGCAGCCAGGGCCCTAAGACACGCCGGCATCCCCTGAACCGGAACAGGGACTACTTTGGAGAAAAATGCTACAGGACGCATACCACCTCCATGTTCCTGAGCACAGACCGCAGCCATGGTTTTACAGTTGTCCCTTGCATAAAGATGAAATGGTTTACAATAATTAGGCAGTCCTAAAGCTGGGGCCTGCATAATGCCTACTTTAAGTGCCACATATGCATTGCCCATTTCAGGTGACCATCTGATGTAATCTGGGCTGTCCCCTTTTACAGCCATTCTCAAAATTGAGTCGTAGTATGAACATTCAGGTATCCACTGGCGACAGTAATTGATCATACCCAAGAAGGTGAGCAACTCCTTCTTTGTAACAGGTTTGGGTATCCTTTGTAGAGCTTCAATACGTTTGGAGCTGAGGGAGCGTGTGCCTTGTTGTAACACAAATCCCAGATAGTCAACCTTCTCTGCACCCAATTGGATTTTATGCTTGGCTACCTTGTGGCCTTCCAGTGCTAAATGTTTCAATAAGCTGACAGTGTCTTGTGTGCTGGCTTCCCAGTCAGGACTGCACAGCAGTATATCATCAACATACTGCAGCAGGACGGAACCATGACTAGGGGTCCATGACTTAAGGGTTTGTTGGAGCACCAGCGAATAAACAGCTGGTGAGTCCACGTAGCCCTGGGGAAGGCGAGTCCAGGTGTACTGAACCCCCTCAAAAGTGAAAGCCATAAGTAGTTGTGTCTCTTGGTCAACAGGGACTGAGAAAAATGCATTACTTAAGTCAATGACTGTAAAATACTTAGCTTCATGAGGAATGGCTGTTATCAGAGTGTTAACATCAGGGACAATGGGGGCTATTGGAATAATCAAATTGTTAATGGCCCTAAGGTCTTGAACAAATCTGTAGTCCTTGGTAGCCTTAGGGACCGGGTTAATAGGGGAGTTATAGGGGGAGACTACAGGCCTTAGTATACCCTGTTGAAGGAAGGACTGGATCATAGGTCTGATCCCATCCTTCTTTTCCTGTGACAGGGGATACTGTTTAATATAAATTGGGCTGACATCTGGACGTAGTTTTGCTTTATAAGGGGTACAGTTTATGTATCCTACATCTAGCTTGGATGAAGCCCATACAGAAGCAGGTACCTCATCCATGTCCATCTGCAGAAAAATTCCAGAGGATGGGGCAGTAAGGGAAACTGCCATACCACCCTCAGGGGAAAAATCCACAGTTGTACCCAGTAGTCCAAGGAGATCCCTCCCTAGGAGACTAACAGGGCACCCTGGGATTAGGCTAAACTGGTGGCGTAGAGAAATAGGGGAGTGGGGTAATTTAATTTCCAAAGGGATAGTTTTGAAGGTTTTTGTTAACACTCCATTTATTCCCACAGAAGGTGTCGACTTTTCCCTTGAACCTCTATATACATCCATACATATGGTGGAACAGGTAGCACCCGTGTCTACAATAAAGGGCATGTCCCTCCCATTCACATTGAGGACTATAAAGGGTTGTTCCATAAAATTAGAGGATAATACAGGAAAAGCTGGAGTGTTACCTTCTGGGCAGCCCTATGGCCCTTGAATGTGATGGGTAGGGCCAGATGGAGTTTTAGGGCCAGAGGGAGCATTAGGGCCAGAGGAGCGATGCTGTGGGGGGTAGTGGGGCTGTTGGGGTATCCATGGGCGACCTGGGGTCTGTCCAGCCTGTCCAATCTTTTGTCTGATAGGGTTGGGGCACTCATTCATCCAGTGTCCCTGCCTTCCACAGTTAAAACAATATGTCCTTCTATTAATAAATGGTTGGGACCTATTTCCTCCACGTCCTCTTCCCCCTGGACCCCTAAATCCTCTTTGGTTTAATCTCCAATCACCTCCAAAACCTCTCTGTCTTGCCTGATTAGGGTCACAATGCTGTAAACCCTGTGACTGATACAACATACTCTTTCCATCTTTACCTATAGCAAAACAACCTGCTGCTTCTCTCTCATGTATTCTCTGCAAGAAGTTAACTGGAGTTAAAGTTGACCACTCTGAAATCAGCTGTTTAACTAGCAGTGAATATGCTGGAAGCATATTCCCAATGCAAGTCTGTATTTTTAAAGAACCCATACCACTTTCCTCTGAACCAAGTCCAGCTTCATCTTTCCAACATTTATAAAACCTTTTAGTGAATTCTGTCACTGTCTCCTTTGTGCCTTGTTTACAGGACAAAGCAGTGGATATAGACTGCTTGTCTTTCCACAATCTCATCATCTCTGTTTTTACTTCATCCCACATAATGTCTCTCCCTTTTTCAGTGGCTAATGGATAAGTACTCACTGTGGTTCCATCAAGTGGAACACTGACAGTGGTTACCCTACTCCATTCCCATCCAGATTCTGAGTCATAATCTAATAGTCCATCAATAATTAACTTTATGTCAATCTGTGTCATATTTTGTCCTTGGCACATTCTCTTCAAGTACATAATACATGCAGAAGGATTCGTTCTAGGATTTGGAGCTCCTTTAATTATGTCCTTCAATTCTCCTGGAGTTAAAGGTTTCAAAATTAATTGATCTCCAACAGTCAGAAAAGGATATGTCTGTTGTGTGTCTAATTCATCAAATTCTTCTTCCCCTTCCTCCTCTCCATCATCTTTATCTGTTCTTTTAACACCCAGCCCCATCTTTTTCTTATACATAGTCTGGATACCCTTAGGGGACCTTCGCTGAATTTGTTTAACCTTCTCATCTTGGGGAGAAAGGGAACTTGATGGAGCAGTGGCTATTCTTTGTGATCCAACTGCTACAGCAAGAACTAAATCATCATAATTTTTAGGTGATAGGTTAGGATATAGTGGGCTAAAGTATGGGGTGTAATTAGGAGGAGGCTGTGATTTGCAGGTATTAACAACAGTTTCTTTAATTTTCTTTTTATTCTTTTTATTCTTTTTTATCCTTTTCCCCTCTTGGGAAACAGGGTACCAGTGAGGTGCAATCTTAAGCCAATTCTCACCCCCCTGTCTCATGTATTCTTTGTCCCATTCTGGATCTCCCTCATACCAAGGAAAAGATTTCTTATCTCCCAAACATAATCCCTTAACCATACTCAGAAAATAATCATCATTAGCCCCGTCTTTAGGGAAGGGAGTTTCACTACCCTGTCCTTGTGTCCACCCTGACATATTGTCCACCCAAGGATCCACTAAATAATCCCCCAGTTCACCAACTCTAGCAACATACTGCTTGCAAGTCTCCCCTGGATTAAGGCGAGGGTATTTTTTAGACTGGGAAGTACCCATTTCAAACTCATTAAGAATCGGATTTGGAATAGCTGATTATTCAGTGGTTAAAGAACAGCTGTCTGGAATCAAAAGTTCCCACAAAACTGTTACTTCTCCACGAGCAGTATCGCTTAAAACCAGAAATTCCAATTCCTTGCACAATTATATAAAAAGCCAACAAATATATTGCATGCAAAAAAGAGGTTGCAGGACAGCCAAAATACCCATCAAGTACAGAGTTAACAATTCCGTTCCTTTTCTTTTTTTATTTGTATAACCTTATTAGCCTAACAAACTAACAACTAAGTTAAATCAATACCACAGTCCACCAAAGACTGGAAATCTGTTTTACAACCTACCAAAGGTAACCTCTACCAAAGAGGGGTCTAGGGACGTCTCCCATAGACAAGTATACACAAAGGCTCTACTCCTACCCAAGGAGACCATATAAAATCTTAAAAAGAGAAAATCCCCTTTCAATAAAAACGTAGCTATGCAATGTATGAAGGATGGAAAAAGAAAAGTAAAAGAACAGAGGTGAAAAAGACACCCAATTCTCTTACCTGATCTTTTTCGTTCCGTTCAAATGCACCCCAAAACTTCTGACACCAATTTGTAGGGGATAAGATGGATATTTTGCCGGAGCTACACTCTCTTCATAAGACAGGATCCTGGGAATCAGTCAAGAAGACAAGAGATGTGTTCTATAACCAATTCAAATTTTAATTGATACATCAGTTATACTTATACCCCATTTTCATGTCGGTGGGGATCATTGAGCATTGTGACATAGTTTATTTTTCACAAGTTGTTTTCAGTTATAATTCGATGTTACATAATGTATGCATATTGGATAAAACCCAGATGATCACAAATACAGAAATCTTGGACAATACACAAGGACATTCCAGAATCCATGTCATGTCATGTCATGTCAATATCTTTTTCCAGGAACATAACAAAATCATGTTTCAATAACATTTCTGAGAATTGGAGATACAATTCCAAATTTATTCTTGATTCAAATTAACCCTTACATGAACAGTTAGGATATAGAGCAAAATGGATATTCATATCCTACAACCTCTTTTAAATCATCATCCACACAGAAAACTTATCAGATAAAACATTTTATTCATTGTAACACAAAAAACATCATCTATTTACTGAGATGCCCATGTGGGTTACAATATGTTGGTATGACAACTAGGGATTTAAAAACTAGATTGGCCGAACATTGCCGCAATATTCTAAAAGGCTATGAAAATCACTCAGTATCTAAGCACTTTTTAAAGCATGGAATCCAAAACTTTTCAAATGTATTGGTATAGATATTTGTAATGTTCCATGGAGAGGTGGAGACATTAAAAAAGTTTTAGGCAAAAAGAAAGGGAGTGGGCTTATAATCTGAAAACCCTTACTCCAAGAGGTCTTAATATAGACTTCAATCTTTTTATTTTTTTATAATTATATATGGCACCTTAGTATAATTGTTTTTGTTAGACAGATAACTTTTACCTTAATTTTTAACTTTTTATTATATTTTTTTACTATATTTGTAATATTTAGCTTAGATTTATTTTTAATATATAAATACTTACTTAAATTATAGTGCTTTTAAATCATAGTGCTTTTATGTTATGTACACATTTAATTATTTGCTACATTATTTTTAATATACTATATATGTCTACATATTTTTATGCATAAGTTGTGCTTTTATAGATAAGCATTTGCATTTATTCTTTGTAGTTTATCTGTGGTTGTTTATTAATTTTTTACATATGCCCCCTTTTGGGCTTTGAACTTATGTCTCCCACTGTGCTTTATTATGTTGGAGTGCTTGCCTGCCTCTAGCAGGCAAACACTTCCTTGTTTCTATTTTCGTCACTCCCTTTAGGGAGATGACGATTTTCTATTAGCCCCTTCCCCTGGCCGGCATCCTTGTCGGTATGCATGCATCCCACTGATACGGGATGCATGCGTTCCATTCAATTGTCACGTGACACGGAAGTGTTTTAGTCACGCGTCACGTGACTTTTTTCAATTTCATTTTTTATATGTTTTAAAGCTTCGGTTTTCTGCAAAAATGGCCACATATGTTTAGTTCTCCATATTGTTTTACCCCATTACATTTAAAAGTGACTTTTGTTTTATGCATTATGTTAACGTGATTGCAATTACATCATTTTGGCGGGAAATTCAAATTCCATCAATACTATTGTATCCTATATAAGCTTATGTATGTCAGGTTATGTTCTTTTTATTATTATTATCTACTTAAGGAAGCCTCTTTAGGCGAAACGCGTTTAGATACTATATTTTTAACAATTTGTAATAAAGGAATTATTTTGGCACCAAATATTTTGTTTGCCATATTCCTTTTATTCTATATTTTATTTATTTATTTTTCCTGACTACACCAATATTTACACAAAGAATCCATAGGTGGGGATTATACCACCCATACGTTTACATCGAGCAGCATAGCCTGCTCTATATACCGTGAGTATATTTTTATCTCTGTTTTACTGTTTTATCCGCAAAACAAAGAGCACTATATTTTATTTCCTTTTAATTTTCGGCTGGGCTGGACCAACGCTGGACTTCTGACTCACACTACCTGCTGACCAGCGCTACTTCATACATCCTTGAGTGGGGATTATTTGAGTAATACTTATTACTACCATTTTATTATTTAACCCTGTTTACATACTGTACCATTGGGATCTTGTCTTCTGTTTTCTTTCTACATATCTCCACTGAACTACAAGTGTAAATCCGTGAAGACTACCTTCATTTCCAAGTACCCTCCATATTTTAGTGGATCACATTATTTTGGAGGACTTATAATAAGGTTTTGGACTTGTATGTATATTTTTATGTGATTTAGGCGCACCCTTCCTTTCTGTTTTGTGTGTTTTTGTATTATATCTACTACAAGGGGATTAGGGGAACTCCCCTTTTTTAAGGTGTGCAGCCGTTTGTATACTATATATTTCTCTGTGGAAGCTTAGCGCTGACTCTCCTCCTTGCGCTTTCCACATAGTTAACAGGAGCCAGTCCTGCTGTGTTATACCTAATGAAAAGTGTTTCTGTGAAAGCAAATTTTTTAGCGGTTTCTGTATTTTTCCTTTTCAATAATTGCAAAGATTTCATCATTTCCGTAGCAGCAAAATCTTCTGTCGGTGCATTAAAAGCTTTTAAGTTTTGAAACATCCCGAAAGATACTATACAGGATGGCATATGGTACCAACCCGTCTTAGATCAATTTACCCGATTTACATAAAGGTACCATGCTGCACATGTGGTGGTCATGTGAGAAGGTAAATACTCTCTGGAAAGATATAGCATTAGTAGCTCACGAAGTTACATCTTATAAGATTGAACACACACCGAAGATGATACTCCTTAAAGCCCTTCCAGGAAATATAGACAAAGTCTCACGGAAAATCATATTTCTTCTCTTATCAACAACAGCAACATTAATAGCCAGAAACTGGAAATCTTCAAACTTGCCATCTTTACAAGAAATAAAAAAAATTAATGTTTGTGGATTGGGAATAAAAGAGACTGTATGTGACAGTACAGTGGACTATGAACTTATCCTGTGGAATCAGACAAAAATAGGAACATTAAGCCCTAAAGTATCTGATAAGTGGCGGACTTATTTTCAATAACCTCCTTATTAATTATTAAATGTGAAAAGTGAAAAGATATTGGATCTAAATTAAAATCAAACTAACCAATAATTAACAAAACAAATGTATATCGGCACAGAGATTTAATTTTTCTTTACCCCTACTTCATTCCTCCCCTTTTCCTTGTTTCTCCCCTCTTTTTATCTATTTCTTTATTTCCCCCTTTCCCTACTCGGGACCCAAATCGATTTATGATTTAAATATATTCAATATTAGAACTAGATAGTAGTTCAATAAAATAAATATACTGAATTTAAGATAAGTTTTTTTTTTTTATCAATATCGTTTTATTATGAGAAGAAGAAAAAGGAGTGCAGACAAATTCAAATTTGTAACAGTATACAAAAAGTTACATACATAACAGCATTAGTCACAATACATTGCATAGCATTCCCTAGCCATTATTGGACTCCCTTCTACCGGTATTTGTTATTATTATTGTGTGAAAGACCCCCTAACTGGGCCGTGGACAAGGAAGGGAACCAGTTCGTGGTCCGGAGTTTATCACTTAATGCTAGTTATAGGGCTCTCGCCCAGTGGATTATAATAGGTTCTGACTAACATTTTACATTCGCCTTTTCCATATGTTCGTAACGTCTCAACCTGTCCCCTTATGTGTGAGCTGCACCCATGAGGAGTAGAATAGTGTGTATCACTGAATGTTTGAGTAAAAAGGAAAGGCGAGGAGGGGAAGAGAGGAAGGAAGGGAGAGAAGGGATGGGGCATGATTTGGTTATCTAGATTTATGCCTATCGTATAGCATCAGGGTGAGGTAAGAGTAGATTTTATGCCTTCTCGTGAGATGTTGTGCTCTGCACAACAGGTAACGAGCGCACTGTCACTGGACTACATGAACGCACATCATGGCCTCCGTCTTCATTCGGGTATGTGTGCTGGGGTCCAATAGGACATTTAACCATTCACTGGCGGTGATTGAGATATATGGCCAAACGAGATGTAGAGTGGGGAGGGTAGCAAAGATGTACCCATGCTACTGGAGGTGTGAGTGGAGTTAGGGTCATATAATTGGAGTATGCACATCGGCCTTGCCCCGGGGAAGCCCGAGCCCCCGCGCACATCGTCGGGCCATCGCCCTAATCCCCCGTGTTTCGTGACATGAAGGTGAACCATGGAAACCACAGTTCGGCATGTTTGTCCCCTCTATCCTGTAGGGATGCCTGTAGTGCTTCAGCTCCTTGGATATCCTCGACCCTGCGGATCCAGTCCTCTTCATTGGGTATCTCCGTCCGTTTCCAATATAAAGGGATGAGCGACTTAGCCGCGTTCAAAAGATGTCTGAGAATTGATTTCTTATAGGAAGATATCGGCATCTTCGATATATGTAGGAGGGCCAGAGAGGCCGACCATTCCGTCCCTTCACCCAGTATATCTGTTATACGTTGTTTGATCAGATCCCAGAATGGGGTTATTGCACTACACTCCCACCAGATATGCATTATCGTCCCTCTATCCCCTTGGCATCTCCAGCATGTAGGTGCAACAGATGGGAAGATCCTATGTAGGAGAACCGGGGTCCGATACCACGAATATAAGATAAGTTAAACCTAAAGATAAATATCAAATAGACATTATTCTAATTTGAACACTATATAGAGGTTGTAACGGATCGCCTGGCACCCCAACTGGGTACCTCCGTTTAAGGATGCTCCTAGCACTTCCTGAGGACTCCAAGCACTCTGGCAGACACCACAATCACCGAACCGAAGAAGCATATGAATCCTCTCAAGAATATGAATGCTGTAGACAGTTGAATAGGAACCATACGAATAGGTTTACTCTCCTAGCAGTCAAACTGGAACAGCATACAATGAATCCTTCCCCCAATAATGAGACGACACTTCACTTTGAGGGTTAGAACAGGAACTCCCTGTACTGTCACATACAGTCTCTTTTATTCCCAATCCACAAACATAGTACAGCCCACAGGGCATTACAAAACAGCCAATCAATCCATACAATACACCCAGACACTCCCACACAAAATCCTCCCCTCTGGCTGTGATATGATTACTGAACACAATGGGTAATCTAATTATCACAGCCAGAGGAATACAGTTTCATAAAACACATCACAGGGACCCCATAACATGCAATAACCCCATAAAACCCCATATATCCTTGGAACTGGGGGATCTGGGTGAACCACATATCCAAAATTCACCCAGATCCGTTCAGTACTTTGGAAAATACAGTTTAATGCAGATTCTGCAGAACATATACAGGCTAAATAAAAAACAATCACTGTATAATGTGTCCCCTGCTGTATAGTCCAAAACCACCGCACGATGTCTCTGTGCAACAAATACTGGCAAGATGGCACCGTGTTGAAAATTCCACACAGTGTCTGTGAGTTAAAATGGCCGCCATCCATTGTTCTCACCATGTGCTTCTGATACAGGAAAGGGTGGCCACCCAGTAACTCCACAGTATGTCCCCAGATTGTTCTTAAAAGGGCTAGTAGCAGCACAACACAAATCCATTATGCCCAAATCATGTCTTTAAAGGGCAATACATCCCAGGGGCCATAGTCACATGGCAGGAGGCTGGCAACCAGGCTTCTCCAGTGCATAGTGGCGAGGTTGGTTCCGCCACAGAGGTGATTTACATAATATGTGTAATAAGTGGGGGGATGTGATTAACAGCCAAACTGTATGCCAATGAAGTGTTATTGTGTTCTAATACAGGGATTCAAGCCCCCATTCTACCCTTAGGCAATAATGGAATACTCTGTGAAGCACATGGCCTTTCATCAGGCAAAATCAGTTGGGTTGTTGATAAACTCCTCCTCCATTCCCTTCCAGTGCAATCCCCATTCCCCCAGTAGGCACTCTGTTACACTCTGTTACATCCTAAGGGATTGACTAAGGGAGGTGTGTCCAGCAGAAGGAGGGGCTAACCTGTTTAATAGCTCACTCTCTCTCTTACTCTCAGCTGACGATCAATGGAGTGGTAACTGTATCATGTGTCTATGCCTGTTTTACTATGTTAATTTAGCCTACTTTCCATTCAGTCAATGATTAGTTTTAGTAGCAACACATACTAGCCTATTTCAAATGTATATGTATTGTTTATTTGTTTACTTAGCCTCTCTTAATAAATATTATTGAATTGCCGAAAGCAAGGAGTATGGACTCTGACTTTACACTCGGTTTTTAAGTTATTATTTTAAGTTATTATTTTAAGTTATTAATGCTATTAGTAATTCCAAGTTTAGCCCAACTTGCTAGTTAAACGTTTATTACAATATGTTAGAAAAAAAAAAAAAAGTGAATGTATGTTAACTCAACCCCCTCTCTTTCCCTTTTTGCTTTCTGTACCCCTTTTATTGAATTATTGAATTAAAAAAAATGAATAAAATTCCAATTGGAAAAAGCTTTTACGTTTATCTCATTTGGTAACCCTGATTTTCTAAAGACAAATTCAGTAACACTCTGCTTATGTTTTTATTTAGACATAGCAGACGGTTCTGTATCAGTAATCAAATTCCATGCCTTATTCCATTAATTAGCACAAACATGTATATACCGTATATACTCGAGTATAAGCCGAGTTTTTCACCACATTTGTTTGTGCTGAAAAACCCCAACTCGGCTTATACTCGACTCAATTGTCTGTATTATGGCAATTTACATTGCCATAATACAGACAGGGGGCTGTGGGGGCTGGCAGAGCATTTACTTACCTCTCCTGCAGCTCCTGTCAGCTCCCTCCTCCTCCGCGCCGGTCCGTTCAGCACCTCTGTCAGCTCCCAGTGTAAGTCTCGTGAGAGCCGCGGGGTCATAGTGCGGCTCTCGCGAGACTTACAGTGTGAGCTGACAAAGGGAGCTGCACGGACCGGCGCGGAGGAGGAGGGAGCTGACAGGAGCTGCAGGAGAGGTGAGTGCTCTACCACTGCCACTGGACCACCAGGAAAGGAGAGCCCCCCTTCCTGGCCAGCTAGCAAGCAGGGAGGGGGGACGAAAAAAATAATACAAATATTAATAAAAATAATAAAATAAAAATAATAATAATAAAAAAAATAATAATAATATAACAAAAAATTTTTTAAAATATAAAAAACATTTTTTATAAAAATGCCCACCCCCCACCAAGGCTCTGCAACACAAACACACACTGCATCACACACACACACTGCATTACACACACACACACTGCGCATTCATACACACACACTGCACTCATACACACTGCACTCATACACACACTGCGCACTCACACACACACTGCGCACTCACACACACACTGCATTCATACACACACTGCACTCATACACACACACTGCACACTCATACACACACACTGCATTCATTATATATACACACTGTAAATAAATATTCAATTAATATAATTTTTTTAAAGGGGGGGGAACCGGGACCCATGTCGAGGTTGTAGCTTAATATGGCCACAGGAGAGCGGCCATCTTCCCCGTGGTCCGTTTGTCTCAGTAAGTGGTGCTAGGCTCCGGTTTCTGCGGTTGGAGCTGCATGCTTCGCGTACCGTTAGGTGCCGCTTCAGGTGCTGGTTATCCTCCTCAGTCTGGTAGGCTGTTCCAGGCTCGGTAGGTCTCCGTGAGGGCTCAGATTATGCCCCTTGCCATCGGAGCATTTAGCATGTGCGTCTGGCCATCTTGACGGTCAGGCCCCGCCCACCAGCTCCATCTCATTCTTTTTTATTTATAATTTATTTATTTTGTTTTTCTTATATAAACGTACAAGACATTACCATCAACAATAATGATATAAAAGACATCAAAATATTGTCATCTACCATCAATTGGATAAAACTTGTGGTATTACATATGTACATACGCATTAGATATTACAAATTACCCTTTACAATATTAGTACTTGTTCCCCTTTTGTTTACTCAATAATATTATTTCCTGAAACTAATCCAAATACCATATTAACAAAATCAATCTGCATAGCAAAACTTTTATCCAACGTTCCCTCTAAAATTAGAGTGCATTTTATCTACCATATAAGTTATCTTAATTCACTAATTATTATTACTTAAATTAGGTAGATGGCATTCCAAACCTCATTAGTGTGATATACATAACAGACAAAAACAAACATTTTTTATGCATTGCAGACTCTTCTTGGGGTATATCAGTGGCACCTCTATTACACTACCTTAAGATAATAAACAGAAAAAGATGTGGAAAAAAAAAAGAAGACACTTCTATTTATTTTATTTTATCCAGGATTTTATCTAACAAAACACTCCACTTTTTCTTTCCAGAAATTACTAACGTCTCTAATTTTTATTGACTGTTGTCCCAAGACCTCCATTGTTAATTGATATTGAACTTGTGAATATAATTGGGCTTGTGTAAAATTTGCACTACTCTTCCAGTTCCTTGCAATTATTATTTTTGTTGCTGCTACAAAATGGACATATATAAATTTATCCTTAAAAAGAAGTGATTGCAAATTTAAGTGGAATAGACCGTTATGGTGACCTCTAGGTATTTTTATTTCTGTAATGTACTCCAATGATTCGAAAGCCATATACCACAGAATTTTCACCTTACTACAGTCCCACCATATATGTCCAAAAGTCCCCTCTTTTTCGTTACATCTCCAACACAATGAAGAATTAGAAGTGTACATTTTAGACAGTCTGGTAGGGACTAAATACCAGCGGTTCATTAATTTAAATAAAACCTCCAGAAGGTTCAGACAATGGATTATCTTACTTGTTTGATATAATACTTGATCCCATTCGGACTTGAGAATCTGTACGTTTAGCTCTTTACTCCATTTTTGGATATTTACATTTAAGTTTGGTGCTTCAATTTGAAGGAGAGCAGTCCTTGCCTTTGAGACTATTTGCGGTACATTCTCATTTTTTAATAAATCTATCAAATTTTCTATACCCGCTGTGGGTCGATATAGCAAAAACTGTTTAATAAAGCTTCAAATTCTCAAATAATTATACCACTCCTTCCTAGGTAATGAAAATTCTTGTATCAAATTTTCAAATGATTTAATTTTATCTCCCGTTATTATTTGATTTATAAAGTCAATACCTTTCCTTGTCCATTCCCTTAGATTTAGATCTTTCATCCTTAGTTGAATAATACTAAGATTAAAATTTCCCAATATTTTATTACATATTCCGCTATTGATCCTCAACTTTTCCCACTCCATTAAAATTGATTTCAGACATTTATTGGAGGTACAGACCTTTTTAATTCATCTTGTTTCGTTAACCAAATCAATTGATGTAAATTTTCCATTTCTACCATCTCCATTTGTAATTGGTACCAACCAGCTTCCTCTGAACTTAATAATTGTGTCTTATATATATGAAACATCATATTAGATAAATAGGTTATATTAACATTTGGGAAGTTTATCCCTCCTTTCCTGCTCTTCTGCATCAAAAGTTGCTTATTCATCCTCGGCCTTTTTCCTTTCCATATAAAATTGTTTATGTCTCGTTGTATCATAGACAACCATGGTTGTGGCATTCTCAAGGGGATCATACGGAATAGATAAGACCATTTAGGGAGTAAATACGAGTTGACCAAATTAATTCTACCCCACCAGGACAATTCAATTTGTCTCCATCTCTTTAACAACTCATGTGTCGATCTAAATATTTTCAAAAAATTTGTTTGCAACGTGTCTTTTAAATCATCAGTAAGAATTATACCCAAGTAAGATAACATATTTTCATTACAATTAAATTTATATTTATCTTTAATCTGTTGGATAAAGTCTCTAGAAATATTTATTGCTAAAAAAGTGGATTTAATTGGATTTATTTTATAATTTGAAATCAGACTATATTTATCTATCTCTTCCTTCAGAGCATTAAGCGATTCGGCAGGGTCGGTTAGGGTCAATATCAAATCATCTGCATAAAGATTTAATTTAAATTCTTTCTATTTGTATCTGAATCCTTTAATTAGAGTGTTATCTCTTATATTAATAGCTAAGATCTCCATTGTCATAATATATAAAATCGGCGACAGAGGACAACCCTGTCTCGTGCCATTTTTAAGTGTAAACCACTCTGCACATATGTTTGGGGCAACTGTTCTTGCTTTTGGGCCTTCGTATAATGCCAAAATAGCTCTAAGCATCCTCCCCTGAATTCCGAATTTTTCCATAGTTTTCCTTAAGAAGTCCCAACCGACCCTGTCGAATGCTTTCTCGGCATCTACAGCTAGTACAAATAGAGATTTATTGCTTCTTCTAGATGCATCTATCAAGTCCAATAATCTTCTAGAGTTATCTACTGGTTCTCTGCCTTGTACAAAACCAATTTGATCATTTTTAATTATATTATCCATTAATCCCCTTAGTCTGTGGGCCAAAACTGAAGAAAAAATTTTAACATCTGTATTAATTAAGGAAATAGGTCTATAATTTTCCACCTTTAAAGGATCTTTGTTATCTTTAAGAATTGGAAGAATATTTGCACTCAGCATTTCGGTAGGAAATTTACCAACTGATACAATTTCATTAAACATATTTGTTAAATAAGGAACTATAAGATTTTTAAATGATTTATAAAATATGTTTGCAAAACCATCTGGGCCTGGCGTCTTATCTAATTTTAATTTATTTATTACTAACTCTACTTCTTGAATTGTAATTAAAGTATTTAGCTTGTTAGTTTGTTCTATTGTAAGCTTAGGTGTATTAATTTTACTCAAATAATCCTCCTCATTGATTATCGAGGGAGTTAAATTGTACAGAGCCTCATAATACTTATTAAATCTCTCACCTATTTTTTTGGGGTCCAGATATACCCCATCTTCATCCTCTATCTTTACTATTTTATTGGATCCAATTTTATCTCTTAATTTTTTGGTCATAATTCTATCTACTCGGTTCCCCTTATAATAGTAATTAGCTTTAAGTTTATTCATAGATTTTGCATTCTTTGCTATAAGAAAATTATTAATTCTATTCTGAATACTTTTCAGTTCGTCTGCGTTTTCTTTAGAGGGAAACAACTTATTCTTACTAGCAGTCTGTTTTAATTCTGCTTGTAATTCCAAAAAGAATCTGTTATTTTGTATTTTATATCTTGTTTGTATACTTATTATATTTCCTCTCATGGTGGATTTAAAGGCACACCAATTATTTATATATGAGGTGTCGTTTGGATCATTTTCAAGAAAAAAGGTTGCTATTTGTTTTTCCAATATATCAAGATTGATCTTAGATTTTAACAAATTATCATCCATACGCCAAGTATCACAACCAATCCTGGTCCATTGATTCTTCATCTCCCACATATTAATACTGTGATCTGACCAGGTATTATCAAATATCTTAAAATATTTAATATTCGTCAATGCTATCATATTTCCCCAAACCATATCTATTCGAGAATACGAAAGGTGTACACGTGAAAAAAACGTATATTCCAATGAATCAGGATTGATCGTTCTCCAAAGATCAAAATAATCAAAATGAATCATGTTTCTCTTAATAGATTTTGCAAGTTTATCTGTTCTTTTTTGATGTAATAATATTGAAATTGTCTTCTTATCTAATATCGGGTCCAATACACTATTAAAGTCCCCAGCCACCAAACATGTGCCTATTTTGATAGATTCCATTAAACTTAAAACCTTTTTTAAAGTTGGGGCAGGAAAATCATTAGGGAGATATATATTAGTCAGTGTATATGGTATCTCATTCAATTTACAACAGACTATAACATATCTACCTTCCTTATCTTTAATTTGATGTATTATATCCACTTTTAATGTATGGGAAAAAACTACTGCTACTCCTCTTTTTTTTTTTTTCCAGTTAATGAATCATGTATCATCGTGGGAAATTTCAAACCACCCCAACTTTGGTTATCCATATCTGACCAATGAGTTTCTTGAAAAAAGCCCACTTCAACTTTATTTCTTAACATATAATCATAAATTAAAGATTTTTTGATTGGAGAATTAAGGCCCTGGACATTAACCGAAATCATCTTTACCATTGTTTCCACTGACCCCAAGAGAGCTGTAATGCATTTACATAAAACACAAATGGTCCATTGTACATAGACCCACAGAAGCCTTATGGGAAAAACACCCAGTCTGGCCCAACACAGCCTGGCTCCTGAATGGTTATCTCTCGACATACCACTCAAGGGCCATCTATGTCCTCGTGAGATGGTATTTAGGATTACCATATCACGGTATTTGTGTCAACAAAAAACGATGACACTTGGTGGGGCGATATAGAAGAGAGTGACCGAAGATCATATTCCTTATATTTGAAAACACTCTACTATCTCATATAGTTACTCAAAGAGAGAAAAAAAAAGAAAAAAAAAGTTCCTTATTTACAGCCTGCAACCCTTGATAATTATAGATATCTAATCATTAGCAGTTTATATAATTCCCTTATTTTAAAAATCCATCCAGTTGTTTATAAGAAACCTTCCATGCTCTTATACAACTTACTATTACCAGCCAGCCAATTGTGTATTTTCAAACAATATATACAGATCTATCTCTTTATTGTGTCAAATCCAACCGTGTATCTTAAATCCAATAGTGATTATTTGTGTATAATCAATGACAATTTAAGTATTCCTACTGTGTATACAAAATCAATCCATCCATTATATTAATTCCTTCCGTGGTTCTTATTCAGAATACCAATATATCCTAACTCTTTGTAAATTTCTAATTCTGAGTGCAGAAATTACATCCCTTTACCGTATTAAAACTATCCAATTTTATATAAATTTGCCCAGTCTGTGTACGTATTTTCTCCTTTAAAGTATTAACTCTTACCATCCATCTCAAGCGTGTACTAATAAACCCTCCATTCTCTTATTATTAACACTATTCTCAGCCTTTAAGTTATCTCCCCCACACCCTAACTTAATATCATAAGAAAAAAAAAAGTATAGTTCTGATTGTACTTTTCCATCCAAACAACTGCAAATCATCTTCAGTTTTTGGTTATTATTCCTGCATTATATAGCACCCGCTATTGATTGTTCTTCCATCCATTTTCTCAAGGCATCCAGAGTAGTAAATTTTTCATTTTTTTCTCTCCAAAAAATCCTAAGACATTTAGGAAATCCCCATATGTATTTCACTTCTTTAGATCTTAATATGGATAGTTCCTGACTGAAACTTTTCCGCCATGCTCTTGTATGGAAAGATAGATCAGGGAAAATCTTCAGGTTCTTAAATCTCTCTTCCATAACCGGATTATTTCTCACAGAGCTAATTATTTGATTTTTAATGTAGAAAGATTGAAATTTAACAATTACATCTCTTGGTAATGATTCTGCCACATTTCTGGGTCTAGGTAACCTGTGATATCTTTCTAATTCTGAGTCTTGTAGACCAACTTGAGGTAGTACTGTTTCAAAGTATTCCATTAAAAAAATTTTCAGTGTTGAATCATTAATTTGTTCAGGAATATTACGGATTCTTATATTGGTTCTCCTGGAACGATCTTCCAAATCGTTTAGTTTATCCTCTAATAGTTCTACCTTGGATTGCAGGTCTGTCATTACTGACTCTATATGTACATTTTTTAAGTCTGTTTGCATCATCTTAGACTCTATAGATTCCAATTGGACTTTCATATCTCTTATCTCTTGTTTTAAATCTAGTGATCCTTTTTGGATATCTTCATTAATATTGTCCTGTAATTTCTCCAGGTAATTAATTAGGGTCTCTTCAGTTAGAGGTTTGCCTGCATGTGCAACATGAGAGGGATTAGAGTTAGATTTGGTGGGAGGGGAATTATCCTGATTTTCAGAATTCAATTGAAATTTGTTTAGGGGAGGGGAGAAATATCCTGATAACCTTTTATCAGTGAGGTTGTCTTTTTTTTCTCTTTTTTTTCTTTCCTCCTGTGGTTTTCTGGTTGCCATTTTGTTTTCTATAAAAAATCTTCTATTCTTTTATTCTTCCCTTTTCTTTCTTTTAATCTTTCTCAGTTTCCTTTCCTCTTTTTTTACTCTTTTTTTCTTCAAGCTTCACCTTTCTCTCTTTTTTATGAAGCTCTTTTTTTTTAGACTACAGAGCTCTGTATCATGTCCTCAATATTTATAGTCCAGTTCCTTTTGAGGCTTCACCCCTCCACTTTCTCCTTTCTACTAGTACTTTGCAAAAAACTTTATTTCTCTAATTATTGTTTTCTACCCTCCTCACCCCCCTTCTCTCTTTCACCCTCTCAGATTCATTGTTGCTCTCTTGCTCTCTTAATCTTAATGGTATCGATAAAGCATGAAACAGACTTATCTTTGAAGCCAGTATATCAAGTTTTTTTTTTCTCTTCGCCGGACCCCCAATACGTCTCTGGATGCCACACAATCTTCAGCAGGCTATAGAGAGAGCTGGAGTATCCGGTATCGGTATCGTCCTCTCGATCGCTCGCTCCAACCGCCAAAAAAACGCCGCCGGCCGCCCTTCCACCATACCGCCCCTCCTCACACGTAGACGCACACCCGCCTACGTCATCACGCTCCATCTCATTCTTAAGCATTTCTTTCATTATATTATCTTTAATTTCTTAATCATCGCTAAATCTTTTCAACAACCGCTGAGAGTCTTCTGAGTTTTTGTGTCAACTAATGTTGCATCCAATGTACTATCAAAAGAGAGCTGTTAATTTTTTGGTGGTCTTGCTAGGGGGGCTAGGGAAATTAATTAGACTTTGCAACAACACATGTTTTTCAGTTGTTTTAACAACACATCTCATTTTTGTTTCAATGTACTACAAACATAACAATTACTTGCCTTTTTGAATTGACACTATTCTTGAAAGGGTTAAATGATCCTTCTCCCTTGCAAGTGGTTTTCTCCTCTATCTCAGTGTCCGCTGTCCGCCACTTGGAATATTCACTGCTATGTCTGCAATATTGAGGGAGACCATTGAACACACGGAGACACACACATCAAGTTAGCTATTCAAGGTTCTCAATTTAATGCCACGCTTTACATTTCTTATATAGTACAAATTTCATACAAGAGACAATGTCCTATTCAAATCCAAAAGGCATATGATGGGAAACTCCAAACACATGGGAAATCACAAAACACTGATGGGTATTGAGCCAAATACTGAATCCCAAGATCCTCTTGAATCACAAGGGGAAAGGTCAAGGAAATGACTTAGTTAAAAGTGTCTTGTGATAAAATAGAGTCAGTATGAATACAGACAATGTGTTGGGTTTTAACCCTTCAATCCCCTCTTTGATCAATCTATTGATCACATCTATATACATATGAAGTCCATGAGGTATATTCAGGATTGCTAGTCAACCCTGCAGGACTTTAGTTAGTTCTTTACCACAGTTCCCTCAGGACGATACCCTATGACCTAACACGGAGGAGAGTATCCAGTTGTTTGTCCTCGGCAGTAGTAATCAACCTTGGAATCTTATTTTTCTGGGTACAGGTAAGATAACAATTGTACAGAATCATAAGTAGCATTACAAATACAACAATCACCAACAGATAAAAGAATGATCTAACAATTTGAGCACCTGTAGGGGACCAACCTGTGAATATATCATACCAGTGATGAGCCAAATCATCCTGGATTTGAAAATTTACTTTCAATAGTTCAGTCTTGAGAACGTGGGTGGCAACTAGTGTATGGGTAATGTCCTTTTCTTGTAATCTAAGATGTTTGAACATATTCTTTCTAGCTTTTATCAACGCAGTTATATTTTCTATGGGTAACTGATAATCGTCTAGTGGCAATTTTGGAGGAATATACATCATGGCACTAGCAATGGTAGGTATGTTATGGAAATAATATGATATTCCATTAATAGTGAGCCATGTAAGATTTGATTTGCATCCTGAAAAATTAAGGTGGATATCTACAGAACTTATTCCGACTGGCACATTAGTAGCCAGACATACAAATCTAGGTGCTATTTCTAGCATAGAGAAATAGTCCTCTGGGTACACATTCCATACACATTTATTAATCTCAGAATGTAAAAGACATGGTTCATATATAGGAGATGAGTGTCTACATGCATAGCCTTTGTCTGTTTGTACACAATGTTCTAATAAATATGTCTTATTATCCTTGGGGAAGATATACTCTCCAGTGTAGGTTGGGGACCACCAGGTCAAACTGTCAGTAGTAATATTAAATATAGGTGTTGGTAGAGTGAAAAACGTGCATGCCAATTTGGTCTCATTGTGTAAAGCGTGATGATAAGGTTGTTATGGTTGCCTCCAGGCTGGCTGGAAGTTGGACCGTAGAAAGGAGGCTCCTAGTGCTCACCAAAGGACCATCAGCACCGTAGACACTATCAGCCCTGCAGACTCCATGAACCGCCGCTGCTATCCACCCTGGACCTACGACCAGGCTCCAGGTTTCAGTAGGTGAACCTCTTCCTTCTGTAGAGCAAAGCAGGATCAGGAACAAGAGCTCTTACAAGAGCTCAGTAGCTAAGGGAGTATGAAGAGCATAGCAATCCCTGTAGTGATTATAGCTGTCCCTTTCAAACATGAGTCAAGGCTGCAAGTTAGAGGGTCAAGTCATTCTGTTTTATTGGCACCTAAAGGGCCTTCTTTTATGCAGGTTTTCCTTACATAGGACCACCCACAGGGTTTTACAGAACAACCAATAACACACATACATTACAGAAAACACTCCCAGCAATTACACACAAAATCCTCCCCTCTGCCTGTGATATAATTATGGTACACAATGGTTAACATGTAATATATCACAGGCAGGAAAAATACAGTTTTTATACATGTACCATAACTTTAAAACCATACATCCAATTTCATAAAAATTACATATTCAGAATCAGCACATTTTAAATATAAACATAACCAAAAATCACACAAATCCCTCCAGTGGCTGAAAAGTTAGACGGTCTATTTCAGGCTGAAAAAATTACTAAGTTCCATCACAGAATGGGACTTGGTCTCTGCGGCTGAAAGTTCAGTATGGGAGAAGGTACAGGTCAGCGGTGTTCGCGGAAATGTGCAGCCGATTTTAGTTCCATGAATTTGGCTGCACACACCGCTGACCGTATTGGAATGAATGGCGCCGCCACGTGTTCCCTAGATTTGGGCTGTGCGGTCTGTCTATTTCAGGCAGAAAAATTACTAAGTCCCATTCGAGTACACGAACGGGGCACCATTCTTGCATTTGGCTCAGTATAACAGTGAGTTCAAATAGCCGAACGGGACTTAGTCTCTGTGGCTGAAAACTCAGTGGAGGAGAAGGTAAGGGTCAGCGGTGTTCGTTGAAATGTGTAGCCGATTTCAGTTCCATGAATTTGTATACACACACTGCTGACTGCGTTTGAATGAACAAAGATGGCCGCCGCCACGTGTTCGTTTGTATGAACGGCGGCCACCCAGCGTTCGGCAATTTACCTACAGCAGGCTCCCAGCCTGGGAGGTAAATTGCCTGCACACTTCCACTTCTGGGTGGTCCGCCTGTGTGGTACTTGGTTCAGTAAGCCCCATTTACTGAACCAAGTGGGAAACAAAGGGTTTTAACCAAGTCTGGGGACACTGGGGACACCGTCTTAAAGGGGCAGTGTCCCAAAGAAGTCTGGGGACCCCATCTTAAAGGGCAGTGTCCCAATTTTCCCTATGTCCCAAAAATGTGCTTAAAGGGCCAGCACCAGTTCCATAAAAAGTCCTTAAGCCCCAATATGCTCACAGACTGTTCATAAAGGGCCATACACACCTGGTCCATAGTCATGGGGGAGGAGGCTGGCAAATAGACTCCTCCATAATCCAGGGAAGCAGGGCAATTTGTCATTTAAAGGAACAGTTAAAAAAGGCATTTTGTAACAAAGGTAAATTGTGTTACACAAGAAAAGTGAGAGACATTATTTACAGCATTCGCTAGACAGACTACTTGCTGTATTTTCATATTTAACCACAGAGTTTCATCCATTTTTAAAAGTTTCCTAAATTTATCAGTCTTAGGTATCATTAAGATATTCTCTAATTCCAATCTTTGTTACTGCATCCATAAGTATCATACAGCACGAATACTCCAATTGTTACTTCCTGTAGTAAAATCAACAGCTGCAATAGTGAGGTTACCTAAATAGTTATACATTGGACATTCCAGTTGTAGACCTGCAATCTGTGATTCAACAACAGTGGGTGCCCAAGTGGCAGTAGCATGGAATCCTGTTCCTAAATGTCTTCCTGCAGTACTTAACGTATTCTTTAATACTTCCATATCTATTCCATTTAAAACTCCCATAGCTGTACCAGTTCCTCCAAGCAAGGTATCATACCATGCTCTTTTCTGTCTTTTTGTTACATCTTTGCATAGGGAGACTATGGGTGTAATAATATTTAGGTTAACATGTATAGCCTTGGAGATAACGGTGGTGTTAATACAGGTGGATGGAATAGGGATATGGGACTGATTGTTCGTATTTGCCGGCACGGACACTGGACAATAATATAGGGAAGGGAAAACTAGATGCTTATTACTAATAATAGAATTGTTGGTGAGCAGTAGCATCTGTCCTTCTTGCCAGGTTATGGTGTAATAGTCATTGGATCATTGAATTAAACTTGCAGCATTACATGCATTATTAGCTGTCTTATTATTGGCCCTATACCAAGTTTGCCATATATCCCAAAAGGTAGTTTGCATCGAAGGTACATCTATAGCAAAAGCAGTGGCACAGAACCCAGTATTATTATAGATTTGAACAGAACAGTTTCCAGCATAAGGTATAGGAGGTAGAGACCTTTTTACCTTAGGATGAGGTGTATAAGGAGGTGTAGTGGTTGGTCTAAGCCTATAACTGGTAGTAGGGTGTAGTGACATAGACTGTACTGGGTTGTCAGTAGCAAAAGTATTTTGTAAGTATCCTAGGGCAGTAGGGGCATGTCCTAGGGAGGAATACCCAGGGGTAGTAAAAACTAGATCCTTGGTGGTTGTAGGAACGTGGTCACAATGAAATATCCATGGTTCAGGACTTTTAGTACTAAAAACAGGACAGTGCCTTCAGGCCATATGAGTAGAACAGTGTTGTTATGCTGGCTAGTGGGTGCATGGGAATTGTTGAGAACTGCACTGGGAACTTCGGCATGTACATTCTTATGGTTTTTTTTATGTGTATTAGTTCTAATCTTCCTTTTTAGTGATGTGAGGTCTCCTGTATCTATTGGGAAAGTATGCTCCCAAGACTGGGACAGATATGAATACAAAGATCTGTCATTGTTATTACTGGTTATTTCCATGGCACAATTCCCTCCTGTGGACATATATGGTTGTATATATGGTTTTCTGGTATATGTGCAAAGATAACCCGGTATATATATTACCCAAGTAGCCACAGCCTTCCCCTTACTATTCAGTTCAAGTTGATACTTGTGTGGATCTTCAGATGAGCATTCAGTATCTGGGGAACGGGGGTGTCTTATATTAGATGAAAAATCAAGGCCTAATTGGGCTCCAGAGGATAATGAGGAATTGTCCATTGTTTCTTTGGTCTCCTGAAGAGACCCATTATGTTTCCAAAAGCACACTGATTTCAGATTGCCTAAGTTCTTGTATTCATAATGGCAATCCTGATAGATGGCAAAAGGAAATACAACGATAAAGGTGATGACTGCCCACATCATGATTTTTCTTTCTATGAGGTAGCCACTTTGTCTTTTTCTCCTTATTTGAGCCATGGTATATCACACAGAAGAACAGGAGGTGGTTCAGGTACAACTGGTTCTGGATGCTCCAGTCGGGTCCTGGCTCCCCTCTTCGGACACGGTTTTATTCGTGATGCATGAATCCACAAATCTTGGGAGTCGGTTAGGAGTGCAGTGCGGGTCACAGTGATGACAGTGGTTAGGGAACCAAATGGGAAGCCTCCTTTCTTTGTCCTGTTCAACTGTTGGATACACACCGAGTCTCCAGGTTGATAGAGATGGGTAGGTTCCTGTGAAGGTAAAGGAAACTGAGAAGAAACATTGCCATATATACCATTCACCTTTATCAACAATTCCTTAACATAGCGTTCCTGGATTAGCTCTAAATCACCAGGCATTATGACTAATGGTTCCCTGGCCCACGGTGTAGGAAATGGTCTACCCATTACGATCTCAAAAGAAGATAATTTGGTAACCTTATTGGGGGTCATTTGTATCTCAGCTAAAATAGCTAGAAGATACCTTTGCCAATTAACCTATGTCCCTGTAGTTGCCTTCATGAGTTTCTCTTTGATAGTCCTATTCATCCTTTCAACTACCCCTGAGCTCTGAGGGTGATAGGGTATATGAAACTTCCATGTCACCTGTAGCCATTTAGCAAGTTCTTGAGTGACCTTACTAGCAAAAGCAGGTCCGCTATCAGAATTAATCTGTAAGGGACAACCATACCTGGGTATTATTACTTTAGCAAGTATTTTCACCACAGTTTTCGCATCTTCTTTATTGGTGACAAAAGCTTCAGGCCACCGACTAAACTGATCTACTATTACCAAAAGATATTATTGTTTATGACCTGTTTTAGGTATATGAGTGAAGTCAACTTGCAGGTGTGTGAGTGGTGTCGTGGGTGGGGGTAAATGATCATGGGATGGTTTCCCAGGGATATAAGGATTGGCCCTCACAAATGGTTCACACAGCTGTATAAATTTGCGTACATGATCTTTTAAATTTAGGATGTAAAAATAATCCATAAGGAATTGTATGGTGGTAGTTATACTCCTATGTCTGTGTCCGTGTGCTTGGCTGATAAATATGGGGGAACTTGCCTCACGTATACCTATCTTCCCCTCTTTAGAGTAAAGATCAAATTGATCTTTCTCTGAACCTTGTGAAAGCCAAAAGGCAATATCTTGTTTGGTAGCAAAATCT